TATCAGTCTTCTTTACTCGGATTCACGGAAACAAACCAAAGTTTCTTATGCAAATTTTTAGCATAGTAACAAAAGATTCAGTTGTACAGCATCTATTGTGACATTTCTCGAATCCTACTGCAGAGTCGTTATACTTCTCGAGATGCCCCGTTTTGGCATACACTACTTTCACAAATTATGCCCTGTCGTGGAATTGGATGCCGAAACTTTTAAATTTCGTAAGGTTGAAACTTCAGCTTAGGTGGGAGCACTCCATTGATAACCATCCGTAGTACTAGAGGCCATTCATTGTTGCGTATCCAACGCTATATAGGTTGAAAATAAAACAAATTAATTAAGGTACTTATTGAAAGTTGATGGATGCCTCAGCTTCGCACACATCTGCCTCCATGTTATCCACTTTACTATCCAGGTCATCCACCCTGGAGCTCCTCTACCCCTAGACACTAGGCAGAACGTGTTCCATTAGGACCTCGTGTTCATTATTCCTTGTCCCTGCACCGTTTCCAATGTACCATGGCAGGCGGAAATGTTGAGGACATCTTGGAACTTCCTTCCACATTATCAGCGAATACTTATCAGAAGTATGCTCTAAAATGAGCGATTACGCGCCATGAGCTGCTCTATCCTTAATTCTGAGCATTGGAGGAAACAATGGAGCTGCCCCCTCTCCGCCCCCCCCTAACTGGAGTTTCACCTTTCGTAGCTGCTCCGCGGGGAAAATGCTGCTTCTGCGACGTGCCTGTTAGCTGAAACTTAGTTTTCTTGAGCTCCCAATTTGTATCATTGTTCTTCCGCATATTTCTTTCCCTCCAACCGCTTACTGTATAAATGATTTAATACCATATCAATACATAGATCCTCTATAATGAGTCTTTTCGGAGGTGTGTCAGCACTCAGTCAAAAAAAAACTAATTAAGCGTGTCCACCAGAGGCCAGTCACAGGTCTGCGAGATAACCAGGCGAGGAGGTCGGTGAAAGGTCATCCTGACTAAGGTTGCCACACACCCCTTAGAAGTACGAGGAATCAGTTTTAAGATGAATAGTCTCATGTGTTGCTACTGCAAATGAGGTGCTGACACGGTATTTCTAGGTGCGATAGACCAGGCTGTGCCAAATAATACAAGATGTGACAATTCCTTTGGCAGGGGGGGAATGCCATAGTTGCGGCGGACAGAGGCACCTGGCCTGAGGCTGACAGAAACACGTAATTGCCCAGCGAAGGATATGACCTCGCCGATCTAGCATGGCTCAATCTTGCCGCAGTCTGCGGGTCGCGCCCGACAATCTACATCGCCTCGCCGCAAGGTCTATCGGCGCATAATGAGAGGGATAAGAGGTAGTGTTGAAGAAAGGCACAAACGGTGAGTCGCATCAATGCACCAGACAATGCACAAATGAACGGGTAAGGAAAGAGCTCGATTTTTCTCGTTTCGGACCCCACTTCCAAACGGCCTCTTCTTCATCCCATGCTCCACCGACTACCTTTACCCTGACTTTCAATGAGCTAACTATCCTCGTGATCTGCCCTTTAAGAATGCATGAACCTTACTCGGGATGACTTGGAAATTGTCATCTTGCGATGAGAATAACTTTAGACCTCCGAGCCGAATTTCACGAATGAAAGGCACCTTAATGAAGTAACGGTTGGCAGGTGGTACAGTGAAGCAGGATGAAGGAAGCCATGTGAAACGGCTCGGACCGATGTAATGTACGCTTTATGGCTTGTGATTCCGCCTTGATGGCGACCTCAGGCTGGGCGTTTCCAGCGTCAATTGATCGAGAGGAAGGCTATGCTGAATCGCCGAGGGCATATCATTCGATGCGATTTGCGTGTTGGTCGCTCTCTTAGGCGGTCCGCTGTCTCTCCATTTATGGTTCAGTACACCGTCACGCATCGTCGTTCTCATCGTGGAATCCTCCTCGAATGAAATGAACGGGTCAAAGATAGCCAGCAGAGAGCATTCATCGTCGCTTACTGAGATGGATGCATGGTTCGGGCAGTTCTTTCAAAGAGTAGCCGTTCATAACGCGCTTCCAACATATGTCGAAAAGGGGGCAAATAACTTTGTTTTTTTTAAATTAATGCAGCTGTGAGGGAAAAAATCAGTGAAGCAAGCAACTGCAAAATGTTAGGAATACGACCATACGAAATAAATGCATTGAACAGTGAATTGCCCAATAAACCAAACCCAAACAGCGTTTGTGCTGGCAAATACGTATGTGCTAGACGCTGTTCTTTCATATTCTAAATAGTGAAAAATTTCATCAGATGTATCAAGCTTAGTCGAATTTTTAAATGTAGATGAAATGATTAGCGGCTGTTGGCGAAACTACACCGCCCGCCATAATAATACTCACAAACAAATTTCCAAAAAAACGATATCTCGACGATGCTTTCCCTGAAAAGGCTCCATGGCGGCCTTCGCGATCTAATTCGGTTTGTATATTTAAAGTTTGCTGTTGTACAGGATAAGAAATGCGTTTCACTATCAGACCCACTGAAATATCCATGAACTTCACTTTGGGGTCAACCTGGGTGGGCGGCACTGAAAAGTTGCAAAAATTTGTCAACCCTCTCTTCCCTCCATGAGCATCTTGACACGACCACCCCTTCCTTTTGAAAAGCCGTTCCCCATACTATTCCCATTACACGCACCGATGACACGCTGATCACCAGCTGTTCTTTGAACTATTCAGTTCTGAGGCGATCTACACACTTCCTTCCCGCCAATTCGGTATTCTGAGACGATTCTACACACTCTGCCCCGCGTTCACCACATTTTCCTCCTCCAAACGTCGAGCCGAGGGGGGAAGCAGAAACACCACATTTTTGGATTTTCTTCTAGTTCGCGCTTCTTCTTGAGCTTTCCGCCCGAATTTGAGGAAAAAGTCCTTAATTAAAAAAACCAGGCCCCCTTCTTCACAATCCCTTCGAATTCTATTCAAGCTTGGCCTATCTTATGAACCCTAAACACGCCTCAATCCCAAAATCGCAAGATACGCTTCCTCCCAGGAAACGCAAAACTACGATTCCCGGTATGCGCCTCTGCCAGAGGACGGTGACCCAGATTATCCGATTGAGCATTTTGCTGTGATCATACTCCCTATTCTTTATAATATATTTAGGTGTTTCAGAATTTCTGTCGTTTCCAGCCCCGTAATATTTAAATGCACGTATCTCGGCTGCGGCTCATAACCTTGCGAGTTGATTTTAAGAAATACATTGAAAGCGCAAATCTATCTTCTATAAGAAACGATTCACGGCGTACGTTTGTTTGGGAATCGCTGGATCTCTGGTAGCAATGACTGAGGGAAGGTCGTTTAGCAATCATGTTGGTTTTTGATGTATTTTCTCTTCAAGGAAGCTATCGGATGGTCAGAAGTTTGGACAGTAGATATGTGCTAATGATGTCTACTAAGTAGATGTCGCAGAACCACTCTGAAGTTCAGCTGCCGTACAATTAACTGCTGAAGCGGTTAGGCCGTTGCTGATGGGCGTTCAAGCACACCTTTCAGGGATGAAATTATATGTGTGTTCCTTTTTATAAGAGGGAATGCTGGACCCATGTCCTTAGAGTTTTTGATGATTTTGAATAGTATAAAGATTATTCTCCACTGTAACAGTTCCATCTGATACTGAAGAACATGGCAGCCGCTGGGCCCCATGAAAGCTGCCACAACCTCCGCCAGCAACAGTTTAATTGTAGATGTTTCATCGCCGTCGATCTATTCAGCAAACTTTCGCTAAGACTATAGAGAGAATCCGCTCTTTATTGCAACTCGGCAAAATCTGTAGAAGAACGAGTCGCTTCACCACATAAAACAGCCGACAATTTGATGACGATGCTTCAAATTTGTATAGTCGCGGGCAGCCACTTATCGAATTTTTTTCGACTGTCCAACTTCTTCCGATATAGCTTGGCTGTACAAACCATATACGCCACGTGGGAAAGCTTTCTTCAAAATTGACATCACATCAATTTGCAGCTTTCCTAGATTTCAGGGAAATAAAGCATCCAAAAGAATGTCAGAAAACGACAAACTTGTTCTGAACACCTTTAATAATAAGAAGCATGCAACCGAAGTTATCAGTTTTAACATCTACTTCAACGACCCTCTTGCTGACAGTCGACATGCTCACAGCATAAAAATGTTATAATGTACATACTGTCTTCATGCATTGCTTATGTTGATCTCGAAATCTTTCATATCTCATATTGTATTCATCATTGTACATTCTTATAGGACACACAGATTCTCTCAGATGCGAAGGAAGTCTTCCGTAGTTTGTCATTCTTAGAAAAGCTAAAATTAATTTTTTCTTCTGATAATCCAGTTTTCAGACAGTGCTGTTTGGTAGTGTTAAATTAAGACTTTGTTTCACGCCTGTCATATTTCATGAGTTCATGCCGTTAGGCAAATCCAGAAATAGAGTTACGTTCCGCATGGTTGTTGAAGAACCCTGTCCTTCATTTTTGTAATGACAAAGCATGCAATAGTAAGAATCTTTTCCAGTTTCATAGTTATTATTTTTCAACAATTGGGAAAAACCGCTGCATACAGCTTCGTGCTTTCGTGCTCTGTTTGTGATGATAAAGTTTCGTCAGAATGCGAAGCAGGACAAAAAAAAAGTGAAACAATTGGAATAAGGCCGAAGAATGAAAGCCTTGCAATGTGGAAGAATATGATACGACATAGCACTACTGATTTGGAATTGGTGGTGTATGGTTCCATTTTGTGGTTCAAAGTCATGGCGCTTTCGGGACATCTGATGATTCGCATGGGCAACCACCATGTGCCAACAATGCCATCCTCAATGTGGATAGAACGCTCTTAGGTTTAGGTGGGATCCGAATCTGGAAGTAGCGCCCTCAGAAAGAAAACATCAAATCTGGCTGCACCTGTGACTAACTGAGGCTACGAAACAGTTTCTATTCTGACGTTTAGTAGGTTTGTCGAAAGCTCACTTTCTTCTAGAATTATGATTAGTAAATTTCTTGAACAAGTTTCAAGTCTTTTGTTACGAAAGAATAGAGCGGGGGAAAATCGTCGCGAATCGAGGGAATCGTTGTTTTGGGATTGCGCCGCCGTATTTCAACATTGCATCAGAACTGCAGCAGAAAGTCGACGTGTGACTTGGCGTAAACAACGACTTTTGTAATGTGTGATGTAAAAACCTCTGTCCGTGTAGTATGTCAAAACTGTTTTCTTCATGTAAGGGTTCGGTGCGGGTATCTTGGCTACTACGTGATTCATATGCTAAACTAGTGTCCTATACCCACATCAGTATGTATGATATACAGAATGCTGGCCAAAAATAGAGGCACTTAATTCACGCTATAATACCGCATTAATCGTACTTTGCTGCCTCAAAACCGAATGCTACTCCTACTGCAAAACGGATGAGCACATTTCCGCTCTAAACATCAACGCTAGCTTCTAAGCCGAGATGTCGCATGCTTGATATGAGGACATTGTGCACGCCGCTTCGAGCTCACTGTGGGTCTCGAGGGATCATGGCGATTGCTGAACCTATCTGAAACGCTGCGCGTCAGGGGTCTGGCACGTCAGAGCTTGACTGTCTATCCATCACTCAAGCGATTTGTAGAATTTTAAGTATTTGCTTCAGCTGAAGCTGGTGATTGCGGATAAGCCTCCTTGGACTCGAGTGGCGATATTGCAGATGGTCGTATCTGAAAGACGAGGCTTAGCGAAAAGCACTTCCATCGCGCGTGCGAGAAACATCTTAGGAATATTTCGCGAAAGACATCCATTGACCACGGCAACCTGAGCGAGTTAGAGCTTGCTGCCATGTGGCATGGGCAAAGGTCTCTTATTTTTTCGGCCATACCTGAACATACTTTAGCACGGTCAGCTTATTCAGCTCGCGTGACTGTTAACCGCATGCTCTGTCGACTTTAGATGCTGGATATAAGTACACTATAAGATAAATTGCAATGTTTGAAACGGTTATGTAAATCGTAACGTATTGCTCACTCTAATTTCAGCTTCGAAGACGGCACGTCAATGCCATTCATCTATTCAGGTAATAAGAGTTCCAAAAAATTGTTTCCATTTCTCAAAACTGTTTTCAGATGATATCTCTAGAGGCAGCTGCGTCGAAATTCGCGGTAGCCCGCAAAAATGGTCGTTACTCTGCCCAAAAGTTCAAGCCGTCTTCCGGTAACTCGTTTGGAGACCTGGTTCTCCCTGGCGGTTTATGACATAATCCTGCGCAGAACGTCGGCCAAGCCGGGCAGTCAAGTCCTATTTCCCGGCGGGTTTACAAACAGTTCTATTCGGTTTCTTCTCATAACCTTTTATTCCACCACAAGGTCGGTCCGCCGGTGGGAAGCAAGGTAGAGGCGGTGGAGGTGCGAGCTGTGAGGAAAACTTGGGAAAACACCAAAACTCGCGAAGCGAGACTATTATTGCCCCTGATTCTCGCTTTAGGCAAGTTACTTCGGTGCAGTTGTGATGAATGTGAACGTTCTGATCTGCTTCTTCGATATAAGACGGTGGGAACGATAAGGAAAGCAACTTGATGGCGACCCATAAGAGAGGGTCGAAAGGAATGAAGATTCCTAGAGGAGTGCTCCTTTTGCTGTGCATAGCCTCCACTATTCCTACCCATAAGTGCCGTCGCATTGCGAGAAGGCAGAACGCAGACGGATCACGTGGACGAGTTGCAATGGTTACTGCAGTGATTCGTGCTTAAATAGGAATGTATACATTACGCACACATCACTACGCTGCTACTCGGCTTGCTACCATCTGCGTCCTTGCCTTCTCGCCGTGCGACGGGCCTCCTGTCTTGTACCTCGACCCTCCGTCGCCTATCCTGCGGATAGAAATGCGCTTTATGGTGAGGTTACATTTCTTTTACTTTCAACAAAAACTTATGGTACCACCTGCTTCCAAGCAGTATCTATTCATGATTATGCAGAAGTATCTAGAACCTATGGACCAAAGGCAACTCTGGATAACTGGCTGCTATTAGGCGCGGATTCGTGGTGATAGCTTAGCTGCGAATACGAACTGAAAGGGAAGGAAAGCAAGAGAAGTCTTTGAGAACGCTGAAACGAGACCTTACACTTCAGTAAGGTCGGATGTGGTACAATGGCAAGACAGGGTCAAAAAATACAAAACACGCGAGAGAGCACGTCGTTCGAGAGAGCACGCTGATCTCACCATCTCTCGCAGTGGGTTTGAGGCGTTGGAATCGGGGTCGATGGTTGCAGGCCCGTAAGGATTAGCGCCCTAACCGCGCAATTTTAGCGACGAAGCTAGAGTGATCAAGGTATGTAGGTACGGAACTTACAAAATCTCTCGTGGTATCCCTCGTGGTATCCCTCCTACTAGTCGGGCTAATCCCGGTGTTTGCCTTAAAGGTCTAGGGCAACATAGCTTCGGACTGAATCGTTTTCGCAGATCGTCGTAATTTTTCAATCAACATATACCATGGTCTCACTCGTACTTACCAGCTTCTAGAATAACGGAAAACACCTTTTCAGTTGATTTTCACATCGGTATTTCAGTCATTGGAACATCGTCAGGTTATTTCTTAGTAAACACAGAAATTCCCAACCATAAAATGTTAGCAAAAAAATGAGTTAAGCAAAATAAAACTCGTAAGTTTTATTCAAATCTATCTATAGAACGTAGAAAATCAAGGCACAAAACTCTGTATTCATGCATATCATCATTCTGAGCACTACCTTGGTCAACACCGTTCGGGCAAAACAAGTGAGAACTGAACACGCACAAACAAAAACAACCAGAAAAAAGCTGAAAAACTGAGGAAACTCGAGTACGTAGTTCGTCGTCGGGCGAGTGAGACCGGAGGCAGCCCTCGTCCCTCGGCGCCGACATTGTTATCCTCATCGTCGTTATACAAATCATCCAGTAAACAAATAGGCTCATAACGGAGCCAATAACTTTCACTTTTGGATACAAAACGAAAGCAACCGTATCGTGGAAAAGAGGAGGAGCGATAAATGCGCCACCTTTTAAGTGAGGAAATGCGTTATCGACGAGAACATGATATGCGAAATGCGATACAGATGAGATAAAAATCACTATCAAAACGTCAGCGATCGCTGATGGATTAATTAAGTATAAAATAAGGTTGGCATTGGCTCGCAGCCAAAACGTTTGACTAGCGATCGGCAACGATACAGTATAGTACATACAACACAACAATTCCATGCTGATTGGCCAATCATGCTCTCATAGTTACAGTAAAAGTTGCCACAGCACAAACGCGATAACAGCGGCGAACATACCCTGTGCAGAAGGTGTGGTACTGCTGGAGTGTCCTCTGGTAGGAGCTGGACTGAAGGAATCACCCGTCTGCCAACAGTCCGGACATGTCTCCGGTAATGACCGCGTCTGTTTCGATGAGTATGAGGATTTTAACTGAAAAACTTATCTCACTTGTACGTACCTAAAGCAGAAGGTAAGGTAGAATGAACCGTCGCTTCCAGCAAGGAGAATGAGAATTTAGAAGGAAAAACTCGACCAGAAAGCCCCGCGTTGTTCAGGATAAATTCAATACCACACGAGGCGGACAGTGTAACTATGCATTGGCGAACTTTCCCAACTTCTAGTCTTACTTACACTGGACAGCCAAGACACAAGGCCGTGGTGAATGGAAAGAGAGTTGGGAGCAGCGGGCCGACCGCTGAGCCGATCAATGGGTCGTCTAAGTATCTAGTTTCTACTTCCTTCATTTTCCAGCCTCGAAATGCCTCGAGAACAGCCCCTGAACTACCACAACAAGACTCCATTTCCAGCACCGAGAAGGTTCGAATAGGGCTTATCGATCAAATTTCTGCAATCATCGAGATTTAAAGGGGAATTTACGATTAGAATGAAGGTCGTAGAAAGGAAAACTGACCTAGTTGGACGGGACCCACGGACCCTGGCCTGAGCGGTTGCGAACTGCACGCGCAATTCGCATGGCAAAATTTTTGAACATCGGGCGACCATCATCCTCAAATGTGGCGCAGTTCGGCGTATCTCCGTCACCACCGATTCGATTGAGTCACTCGCCGTAGTTCAATTATCTCGCGAGTGATTGAGATAGCTTAGAGAGCGTTAGTCTTGAAGAGGGCACAGCGACTGGTAGTGCATTAATGCTCAAATCAACGAGCAAGGAAGGGGTCCCATTTCTGGCGTTCTGGGCCGTTTTCTCATGGTTCGTCCTTCTTGTTGTGTATCACTCACATCCCTAGGTTAGTTTGGGGAAATGGTCGCTTGTTTTTCAGTCGTGTGAATTCCGTCCTTTAACGAAGATCTAATCATCATAGTTGATACTCGATATCGGTGAGGTGGTGCTGTACTGGAAGAGACGTGCACTTGATAGAAACTATGGGATAAGCTACTTCAACATACATCGCTAGCTATCCGCACAGCAGGCTGGCAACAGCTTATTCACGCACTTCTATCAAGTGCACGTCACTTCTGGTGACACACCCCCCAACTTTCGGATATCGACTGTAAACTTCCTCACTCCCCTGAAATGACTCAGTCTATTCAGTTCTCAAAATAAGAGCCTGGAAGCCCACAGTAATAGATGGACTCTGAAAGCGCCTTCGAAGGACTTGGAGCCAGCCCGGTGATACCTATGTAGATACGCATCGGTGCTGCTAACATCTCAAGGCCTTTATTGACGATGAGAAGCGGAGTTCACTTATTTTGTGAATGTTGGCTTCTATCGATTACAATGATGTTTCGCCGTTCAATATTTTGGACAAATAGCTTGTTCGTAATACTGGTACTTGTTGGTCATAACGAAAGAGCTCTGCCTCCTATCCCTGTGTACTTTCAGTATGAACTTGCCTTCACTCGGGCAGGCGACATTATGTCGAATTATATTTTCGTGGAGGACAAAGTCGACACACTTCTTTCAGATATTTTCCTATCTCTTTTCATAATTACCTGGCTCCTCAGGATTGTAGTAGTCGAAAAGTCACATTTGTGCTGGTTTTTAGAGGCAGCAACATGATATGTCATATCAGAAGAAGAGCGACAAGCACACTGGGGAGAACCGCCAAGCTAAAATGATATTTATTGTGTAGAGAGCAGGCTTCCGAAAACAAAAGCAATGCGAGAAAGGTGAAAAAGAAAACAAATTAACAATTCTTCCGTTGTTTTGCAATGTTCTTCATTTTAGTCGATAGTTTATCTTTACAAGGGAGGTCTTCAGGGGGTTGCCAAAGCTTTTCAACGCGTCTTTTGCAATGATATAGCGCGGCACATGCGCGACACAAAACCCATGGTTAATTTTTCCTGACGGCATCTTCTGAATACCGAAATGGGGTCCCTAGTCACACCTGTTTCACAGGTTCTTCAATCAAATCTATTTGTAAGGGTTTACATGACGGCTCCGTGATGCATGAATTATGGTTTACTATTTATTCATGCTGACGTCATTTTGCGACTGCGATTTTGAAACGTCAATCGAAATTGCAAAAAATTTGTCACCCGAGGAAGCGAATTAGCGACCCCTTTTCTGGTATTCAGAGGGTTCGTGCAGAAAAATGAACACACCTTTGTGTGCTCATATGTAGCCCAATGTCATGAAGAAACCATTTTGAAAAGCTTGGGGCACAACGCTTGAACGAATCTCCTGTCAGTCTGTGAGAATCTTCTATCATGATTCTATTTTCATCCATAAGTCACTGGCTTACGAGCCGTCCGTCATTCAAGGAAAAGAACAAGAAAAAGCTAAAAAAAAATTTGCGTTTGTTATGATAAGCAACTCAAATAATTGGAAGAAATATTAAGCATTCAAATTCCCGCCGTACGTCCGCCACAAATGTTAGTGGCGGGAACAATTCAACGTGAGAAATTTGACTCATTGTTTGCCCTTGATTTCCGCATTGATGCGATGATTATCGGTGCTACTTTCTTCAACTTTTAACGCTCTCTCTCTCTGGCAAACGAGGTAGGGGTATATGGCAAGGGGTAGGCGGGCAGTGGCGCGAGCGACGCGGGTACCGGAAAGGTTTAAGTGTTCCTGTGGTTCAAAGACAGGGTCCACTATAACCTATTGAACGTACTAATGAAAATCTCAACATTGTGGAACTGCACTTCTCAAAGTTTTATTGCAGCATTCATTGAGTGATTCAAAGGTTCGACCAGTTCAAATGATACTACAGGATCAGATAATCTATAATGAAAGCAGCATTTCGACCCTTCCCCCCCCCTTATGCTACCTTATACTGTAATGCTTTTACTTTACTTTTACTTTCTACTTACACTAGTACTGGTCCTACAGCCACGACAGTACAAATCGCACGCAAAGATATCTGGGGTACATATAACCGAAGCTACTGTCACAGGCGAGCTGCAAGAATAGTGCGCCTATTGAGGTAACTGGTGACACAAGATTCTACTCAGGAACAATAACTGGTATGATTAGTAAACGCTACCGAAATGATTTAATAAATCTTAGCCACTGAAAAGTACTTGATTTTGTCAGCGAGCTGGCCTCCGTCAATTGTAATTTTCAAGGAGTTGAATGATTTGGCCGACAGGATACAATAAACTATTAGGTTGGTCCATAAGTCTTGCAACAAATTACGTTTGATGCTAGAAAATTTTTGTGAGGACTCCGAAGCTGTTGACGTAGCATCCACATTTGCAATTTCAGTCAACCATCCAGCTCGTTGTCTCGCTACTTGTTGTGGATAATACATCGATTTCGAGAAAAGGTGTTCGTGCCCATAATTTTTACGAGTACTGCTTGGAATGTTCCGCAAGTCGTGCTGTACCGAGGTTTTGCCAGAAGATGGGCGAGGGCACACTCTCTCAATTCATGGCGCACTGGCGCCTCACTCTGCTCAGCGTTGAATTTTTTTATTTGAAGATGATCCAACTCCAACCACCCCGTGACTGACAATAACGACGCTCCATCTGGCGCTGTTGGAAAGGGATCTGTATAGACTATTGATCATTTGCTAGAGCAATTCTGATGCCATAAGGATACAACACTAAAGCATTTGCGGTTATATGTAAATATCCGAAAATATAGAGTTTGGATCCCACATGTCTTGAGCCCGTATCAGCACCAAGCACGATATCGACATGTTCAACACACTATAAATATTGACACTCACTATAGATTCTTTGATTGACTATCCATCATATGAGCCGACGATGAGGAGGGGGTACAGAGTGTTAGCTAGTAAACAAACGGCGACAGTCTAACGCAAACGCTTCGGGAGTTCTTACTGCTCAACTTCAAACTCGTCCAAGTAGGGCCTTCTTGGATTTTTGGTGGAATATGAGAGGAGTGAGCTTGGAAACTCTTCATGTCGCAGTCAACGCGTAAGTGACGTCCCAGTGCAAGTGGTGTTGAGTGCAGTTGGCCCGATAAAATGAAGACAGCAATCAAGCTTGCTTTTTCTGACATCAGTTTGGCGCCGGCACGCATGCGCGCACACCAGATCTGTAGCGAAGTTTGATGGATGCGATGAAATTTTACAAGATATGGTGATCACGTGCTGCTACCATCCATTCTATAGCTTCTCATCGCGATTTCGACATCTTTTTCTTCGTCACCATTATCTCTTTCTCGGGTCTACGGAGACTGCTTCCGACAATATCTCGGCGGCAACTCGCGCACTTCAGTGCGCTTTCCATAGCATTGGCTATTCCTTTCGCCGACCTATACCCATTTTACGGTATCTGGGACCCGTATTTGGAACCAAACAACGATTGGAATAACCAAATTTATCAACTCCGCAGCTTTAAGTGCGTGCCCACCCCGCTCCCATTGTTAGCTGGCCTCCATCCTCCACCCACTCCATCAACCTTTTTTCCCGGCTTCCGGGACTTCTTGAAGCGAGTTTGAATTTTCGTGCGCACTCCGCCCATTTTATCAAGCCTCGCCACATGAAGCTGGCTGTCACCTTCCATCCTCTATTCAAACTTTTCGCTCTTTAAGACTTCACGGCGAATTATGAGGATGGTAGAAAATGCTGATACCACTTCAGAACGGCGCTCGCCCTTCTGGGCGGGCCTTTGCCCATTGCAATGTATGCAGGAAAACCTTGCTTATATTTGCTCCGCTTACATGCCAATTGTTTTCTGCTCTGGCTTCTCGGTCCAACCGAGTTCGATATTTTTCATTAAGGATGTTTTTTAGGAGACGCCCGCCCACGAGGGTGAATCTCCGTAATTCGTGTGACTCACCATGCAGCACCTTTACTCACTGTTTTGGCTCAGTTTTCGAGGTTGTTTGTCACTAATCGAATCTTAGTTCTTCGGTCAGTTCTTTTTGACGCACGCCCGCCCTTGTGGGCGGGGTGCTCGCTTAGTTTTGAGTGTGTATTGTATTTCGTGAGACCTTGCTTCCTTCCGCCGGTCCCTCCAGGCGAATCCGAGAGTTAGGGGATTTCCGTGAGCTTCGCAGAGCGAAGACACGACAGGACCGACAAGCGACAGCGACAGCGAACGCTTATGTAGAGTGGATCCTTGAAAACCAGTCTTGCTAGAAACCTGGAAAATTTCAGGACTCCGCTGGGAGAGTTCTTTCGTGTCGAGTTTGTAGCTCCGGCCTTTAGCAAAAGGATGACACTGCTTCGTGTTGTGAGTGTTAATGCGTCAATGATTTTGGTTGCAACCTATCTTAAGGTACAGTTGTAAATTTTGAGTGTCAAGATTAATGTGATGGCAAAGAAGGCAGGGAGTTTTTCGCTGTCTTTGCTAGGTGAACTCAAATATTTCTGACGCGATATGTTCACTAGACAACATATATCTGCCTAGTATGGATTTAGTTTCTATATTATTTTTTTTTTGTCTCTTTTTTTTATTCTTTTCACAGTAATTAGAAGAAATGAGGAATGAATCGAACTAGAACTGATAGAATCTGGAAAAATTTGCTAAGTACAGAATATCAACATTTCCGGTGCTCATCGTTTATTGGTCACGCCTGTGATGTGTTTCTGATGAAATTTACAAAAATCAGGAAAGAAATAAGGGCGTGCGCAAAAAAATAAGCATTCGGGAATGTGAGGCATTGCGCTGCCACGGTTCGGTGCTCATGGTGTGCAGCGCAATGCGAGCAGTGTCGTCATCTCGTGTTAAGAAAGGGATGTGGTCAGTTAGTGCTGGGATGAAGAAGCATTGAAAACCGGTCATCAGAAATGGGTACTTTTGTGCGCATTGATTCTTATCGTGACACAAAGTAACGGTACTCGGCTAGAGACCAAGGGTGGGTGCTCACGGGGGTGGGTGTGCGCGTCCCCGATAACGGGGGGAACGGCATGACATGACCGAGTGAGAGATATATTTCTTTCGCTGAATTTGTGTACTCCGCACTCAGAGAGGCGGCTTTATCTTTCGCTAGGAGACTTACGTTTTTCGACCTTCAATCGGGATTCAAAACCAATTGTAGAATGGGTCTGTATTTGAGGTGGGAGATTGACAGGGTGATGGTCAGTGTTTTTAAATGATCCAACTTTTGCAGATCTGGCGCGCGAAATCGCGCGGGAAAAAGGCATCGGTTAGAACAAAGGCACCGACTTCGTTTAGTTGCAGCTTTTGGATTCCCGGAGCACCCCCCGGGTTCCCCGGCCGTCGTTTCTTCAGGAGGCCGCTAATACGCGATTCTCTATAAGTTCCACAATCGTGAATTCTCCAGCGATACCTCTTCAAAATTTCCTCTCCTGCACATTTTGAGGATCTGCCCTTTTTAGTTTCTTTTAAAATCACTACCTCAGCCATTGCTATTTTATTCCGCCCTGTTGCGGTCATTCATATTTTTTGGTCATTTGTTTCCTCGCCACTAGGCATAAAAATTTTGCGTGGCGAGTGTTCTCGTGAGATCGGTGATGATTCCATGATTTCTATCATGAGCGTATTCGTTCCGGTGGATCATGCAAAAGATTGAGGACATTATCCTAGAATGCTATGAGTCTTATTTACGGCAAAATTTGGGAGCTTCATGGGAATGACCAAGGCGCTCACTGCCACGTTCACGTTCACTGTTCTAAAGGATCTGGAAAATATCTTCACGTGGTTGAGGGAAAGCGCCAAAGGGGTAATCTATGACAGCGACTCTAAACCGCTCCTGAATGACAAGAGCGATGTGTTGATGATCATCGGAAAAGGTTTCGCGGATAAGGAAATCACTTTATACGTGTTACGACAATGGCTAGGTGCTTGTGAGCAATGGATGTGAATCTCGCTATTGGAATGGCACCATGGGAGCACAGCTCCGAATCGAATACCCAGTTGTGGGAACAGGCAGTCTCAAAAGTCTCAGTCATTCTAAGCTCCGTAACTCTGCTCATGAAGGTCAATTTTTTCGGGAAGACGCCCAATCTGAGGAATGGAGCAATCCCATAACAGGTCTCGGGAGTGACCTGTACAATAATCACGACATAGTCGAACGTTTCAAGGCTCGTCTTTGATACGTGAGTTTTGGGTGCATCTGTGGTGGGCATCGGACTGAGTCGGACGACAAAAACGCCAGTCACAAGAGAAGCGCTTGCGACTCGGAGCCCGGTTATAGTGGCGGAAGTGTGCCGAAACGTGGACGAATATGGTATTGTGGTCGACACGAAACATGTGAGTATCAAAAATAAAAACGAGTGATGCCTCTCTTTTCAAAGCCGAGGCTTGTGGGAAGGGTTGCCAGGGTGATGACCAGTATTTTTAAATGATCTATCGATTGCTGATCTGACGCGCAAAACCGTGCGGGAAAAAGGCGCCGGTTGGAACAAAATTTAGTTTTTCGAAGGTTCGTTCGCTTAGTTGCAGTTTTCTGGATTCCGGAGCGCCCTGCCCCTGTTGATTCTCTCGGACCCCGGCCGCCGTCGCTGATATGCTGATTCTCTAAAAGTTCCACTTTCGTGGATTCTCCAGAAGCCGATTCCTCTTTGTATTTCCTCTCCTGCACACTTTAAGGGTCTGCCATTGTTAGTTTTTTTCCAATCACTATCACAACCGTTGCTATTTTGTTCCGCTCTGTTGCGTTCATTCACTTTTTTGAACGCTCTGTTTTCTCGCCATTACGCATAAAATTTTCGCGTGGAGAATCTTTTCGTGAGATCGGCTAGGAAATCGATCTGTATCACATAGACTACTTTGGTCGTGCTGACGGAGGCATTCTGCAGAGCAAGGAGAATTGAGGAAGAAGCTTTTCAAAAAAAAAGCTAGTTCTGCGTTTACGATTTTCACAAAGCTAAGAAGAGAGATGACAGAGAGTGCAGAGTCGCCAAACACCGCCACTCACGGTTTTAGGTGTCGTAAGGAAAGTTTCTGGCCGTTTTCGTATAATTCAAGCTCACCATGCATTATTTCTGGCTAGCGGTTCGACGGCTAGGCATACGTGTTACATATCGCTAGGAAGCACAGTTCTTGCTCTATCTATCGCACTGCAAAGCTTGTTCAGTAGGGACGACTCCACTGATTCGACAACATTAAATGCAACACTGACCTCAGTTTCAACTTTGCGAAATTATTGTTGACCATAGTATACCGAACAATCATCCGAAGTTCATGGGGTATTGAGAACTCCATTCCACCAAGGAGTCACGATTCCAGACAAAGAACGGGCGTTCGTTGGCAGGAAAGATTGCAGAAAGAAGGCAGATAGTTCCCACGGGAACCGCGATTTTCGTCAACACCCTCCTTATCTGACGTTCCGTCTTCAAGCTATCCCAGCTAAGCTGAAACCATAAATAATGCGCCCAATTTGCGTAGCGGTTCTTCTTAATTGTTTGAAGCACATTTCCATCAACTTTTCACGAATGGTTTACCGAAGTTCGAAATCCAGCGATTCACTATCTGCAAATTTCGAGGCTAGCCGCCATCCCTAATAAAAAAGCTCTCCAAATTATAACTCATGGACTTGTCTTTTTGAAAAGCCATGGCCCAAGCGAATATTTATATCAGAAGCGGATTCCGCTTCTTTCTGCCCTAATATCGAGTTAGAAGGAAGAAAATCGTGAGATTGGCTTGGTAGCCTGCTGCATTCAAGGCTTTCAAAAGTGGCGGAAAGATCCCATGAGCAAAGTTACCGCGGAGTGGATAGAGCAAAAACGCACTTTCCAATGATCATGCAACTACGCAAGCATCCTGCGCGATAAAGTTTGCTAGGAAATAATGATCACGAAACTGGGGAACGTCGAAACGGCCAGAACAATTTCTTACACGCCTAATATAATTTATCAAGCCTTATCTCAGGAGCCAGAAAGACTCAGTATACAGGGCTGAATTTCTACAGAATGTTACGCCTATGTACCAATCTAGCACTGGGTGTTGAAAATTTGCAAGGATTTGAAGATTTACTAGAACAAGCATTTTGCATTGTATAAGAACTCTTGAAGCGTGCTGATCACGATGAGTGGTGACGCGTAATGCGGTTCTCTGCACGGACACATGAACAATGAACATGATTGGGGGGTGGGCATCAAGAGGCGAACCCAACTACATTCCGACACTCTAATGAGTCCGCTCCACCAATGAAGTTTAATGCCATCATCAAAACCGCACAAGTTTTGTCTCATCTCTTAAAAATGTCATATTAATGGTCAAGTCAAACATACTTGCAACATAAATCAAGCTGCATTCTGTTGCCACCACGCAGTTCTTTGAGATCTTTCGAGCAGAAGAATGGGGAATCATCTCGAACAGCATTCCGATAGTAGGAGTAGGAAACCTGCAATTTGAGCCTTCCACGTCTTCTCGAATGCTCTTCAGCAGGTGCACATACCTGAGCAAAGACTGTTCCCTTTCCTGATGCTTTGATATCCACATTGGATTCGATATTGGGCAGCTGAAATGGGTGTCACCGTATCGCTTGCAAATTTTTGTGCACAAATTCTTATTTAGGGTAGCATTCAAAGGCCAGAGGTTCTTCAATCTATCTCACTTCATAGCTCTGAAGAACGATGGCGTTTGATGGTGTCACTCCAAATGTCTGACTATCGGCACCATTCGTCACCGTAACCGTAACATTCGAGTCAGCCGAATATGCATGTTCTGCATAACTTCCCAACGCTTGTAAAGCGATCACAGTGTCCTGGGTTGACGAGAAGCCTCCATATGCGTTTCGTTGGCCTGTCAGCCAACGCACAAGTGGAAGACCCTGAAAGCAATTCAATTATCGTAGTTCCAGATCCAGGATAACATGTGCAACAACTTTCATCGCCATATATAGCAAAGACAATTTTGCTTGGCTAACCTTTTCAGTGTCACCATCCAGCATGTAGTTGAGCAGCACGTAGCCGGTCGTCTCCACATCTACAGGTCGTGGTTGGTAGAAGTACTGCGTGGTGTCCTTTGATTTATCGACACCTTTTGACGACGACCAGTGGATTGTGCCATCGGAAAAAAGTTGCATTTTTCAAATTTGCTTCGATCATTTATCACTCAACAATATACACATTTCGATAAGAGGGCAAGTAAAAATAGCAAGGTGGTGCTCCCCTAACAACATCAAGGCGGAACCTCGGGCTTAGAGCACTGGAGCTAGCTAGCTTGCGTTCGTGTACTTTGCCTCGTACAGCGTGCCACTGGCGAACCTAACAGAGGGTCAAGCCCATAACTTCAGTGTTCTCGATTTTTCGCTGGCTTTCTTTTTCACTTTCTGTCCAGTACGCACCTCCACCGTCAATATATGTAGTGCGCTCTTATATATCGAGCTTATCATAGGGCGTGCCTTTGATGGAGTGCGAGAATGGGTCCTAGCTCGGGCTACCAAGTTCTCATCCCTGCGTGGCTCATTAATAATGACTATATATTATGGAGAGGTAAGAAATTATATTCCGCATTGACTTACTGTTAACCAGTGCTATATTCGCACATTTCGCCGTGCGGGAGATGGCCAAGTTGCGCGGTATGCGTTCTATGCTGAAGGTACCTATGAGCGATCACCTTATGCTTCCTTTAAAGATATATGAAGAAAAAGGAAAAGACAAGGGGAAGAGAATCCGATGAAAACACGAAGGTCGAACTTGTATAACGCGACTTCGCTAAGGCAACGAAAGATTGGGCGCGGAAAGGAAAGTGCGAGGTGAGAGAGCGCCAAACAAGAGCGTGCTGGGGACGGGAAACATTGCGGCTGCTGCAACCAACTTTACAAGGCCCTAGAGCCCTTATCGGGTGACTCATGCATGGAAGTTCCACATTTGTGATTGCCCTTTAGGGGTCTGTCCCACAAGCCGAAAAAGAATCGTTCACGATTTCCGTCTGGGTAGGAACTTTGAAACTCAATAGAAGCATTCATCTGGGTGTGGAAGCGTCAGGTGAGTCATTTCTTTCGCATTGTTAGGGGATTGAGCACAAGAACAACCTTCACAAAAAGCCAACGAAACTTTCCATCACTTTTGAAGAGAATACGTAACTTGGGAAGGATCAGTACAGGGACTCAGTCTTTCAATATTCACCTTTGTCGACGATCTGCAAGTTTCTCCAGAGGCCTGCAAGTCATCTTCCTTCTGTCGCCTATTTGCCATATCGTAGCGACATAGGCAGCACCGCAAGCAGCATTAGGACATCGTTCTTCAAACTGTCACGAGATGCTTCTCCAGAAACGCGCATACCATTGTCGCTTGAGAAATCTGCATGTGATCTTTCATCTGCTCAAAGCTGTTGGAATAATTGCGTAAAATTCTCTACAAAAAGCGGCACTCACCCCATCTCAAGTAAGCCACTACGACATACGCTTCCAGGCTATTATGACTCCTTCATGGCTCCTCTTGCATGTCCTGTGATGAACTTTCGCATGCTCACAAGATGCGCGGTTTCCTTGGAAAAATCCTCTCAATCTCTTCTCTTCAGTCAGAGCGAAGAATCAAGTAGCCTTATCTTACCATTGGTTGTCCGTTAAGAATGCAGATGCATCTTTTGTGAGTCGTAGGGTTCGACAAAATGTTCATGCCGCGAGCCTGAGCGAACGATCGAACAACAAACGCAGTCAACCACGTCGTCCAAATTTTATCGCTCTCACAAAGGCTGAGAATGAAAAATTGTTCGTGCGCCTGAAAGAGCACAAAGGCTGATGAATAACGCGAAAAGAGGCATGATTGATACTGTAGGGAGTTCTCGCGTGATTATCCAGCATCCATAAACTTTACTCTTCTGCGCCTCGATGGTAGGTTCAGCTCGCGTTAGTAGCGTTCAATTACCGGTAATCACGACGATATTCCGGCAACAAGATTCAGCATTGCTGTTCCCCACAATCCGTTAGGCATAACGAACAAGGCCTTCGAATGTTTGTAAGCACGGGACTGATTGGCCCTAAACACAAAATATAATTTTTGGAATTTACAGCAACAGTTAGTACAGGATTTCAGATACTCCTGGACTTGGAAGCCGCAAAAAACCAAATGTTCTCAAAAATTAATTTAATTTTAGTTTATATTCCACACAACATGTATAACATGACAGTTGCCACCAAGAAAAACGAAGAGAAACCCTCAAATTAGTTTATTAAAATTTTGAGAGCAGTACCTTGCGGCTATCCGTTTCTACTGGGAAACTAATTCCGGTCACACGTGAAGCCACGAATGTTTCTCACATCTCCACAATCCGAATGAAAGCCAACAAGCGTGAGCTAAACGACCACATCCCATTGGTAAGAATTAAAAGCGAACCCCGACGTGTGCACGCTTCGCGCCAGACACGCTTTAGCAGCATGTCTGTGATCACGTGTTAGCGATCCGCGCATTGCGGCTGGAGCGATTAACAGTCGAGCGTCAGGGAACACAGCGATGCGCCGCGATATCGTTGGCGTTTGCTCCTACCTGCTTCGAACGCTAGCAAATCGCGTGGATTCACTAGCGATTCGCAAAGTAGACACCTGCCCATGGTTGCGCGATAAAAAAAGTTGCCACCGACACGCAAGGCTTCTTCGTGATCTTCTCAAAGACCATGTAAGACTTATTACATTCTACTATCAAATATCTTATCATGGGATGGCACAAACGTACTATGGCCATTTGTTCCGATATTCCTTCGATTCTGAGTCCGATTCTTAGAAAAAAAAAAATCGATCTACACGGCTTCTGCTGGGCCTTTATTTATATCCTTTACAGGTTACCTATCTCCAAGTTTTTAGCAATGCTTTCACAAGCTTGAATACGAATTACGAAAAAAAGTACGACTAATTCGAATCGTTGCTTCTGAGAACCTCGATGACATCGCTTGGCCCACATCAATTGTACGACTTTCTCGAAATCCCGTGGCATTTTCGAGGATCGCCATCACACTGAGTACATTACGATGCAAGACGCGAGTAACCTTTCGGGCCTAACTCAAGAGTCATAATCAAAGTGACTAACGTTTTAGAGAACATCTTTACAGGCAGAAGTTCTGCAGAAAACTCATTGTTGCTAATCCGCTAATATTAGCGTAGCGATCTGGTGTTTTATAATAATTCTGTTCAAAATTATTTTGTAAGCAAAATTGAGTTGGCTTACAGCTGTGTAATTAGTAGCCGTGCAAAACTACACCTTCAACTCTGAGCGGTTCTTCACGCATCGCAGCTTGAGCCGGCTTGGATGCAGTGACGGTCAACTTGACCATTCCATTTCTGATCTTTGGCACACGGCATAGAGAAGTAGGACAGCTTTGACACTCCACCGACCCGGATACGGACACACGCGGGATGTTGTAGTTACGCTCAGCAGGCGTTCACGACTAGAAGCGAATACATGGAGTCATTGGTAAGCACAATACAGCTCCCGCGTAAGAAAAAAGGGGGCGAAAGCTATAGCAAAAAATCACAGCCGTTTCATACTGAATGAAATACTGTCACAATGGCCACTGCATCGCTGAAAGCCAAAGGTCAAACGTCCGTATGGGTCGCTGGTCAGATGATTCATATTTGCCATTTCAAGGGAAGATTTTGTGGGAGTTGTGCCCTTTTGATTATAGGTCGGTCGGAAGGATTGCGTGCGAGACCACCCAAGAGCGGCTGTGAAATTTGTCGAACTGATCAACACGAGAGGTTGGTGGTGGTGTCGTTCCTCCAATGGTTGCCACTGGCAACTGCCTCACTTTGTGAGCTTGCAGCCAAACGCGGACATTCGATGCAGCCGACAGGCCCACGCTGACAGGCGGGCCTAATAACACCAGCGTCACATCACAAATGTCATGTCGCATATGAGTATCGAGATAATGCTACTGCGTCCGCCGGGAGCCGACGCGCACATCGCAGGAGCCGGCGAGTGTGAAAAGTTATGCGAGAGGTCTCCGATGCAAAGGACCGGCATCGGGCGGGCCAACATAGAGCTTAGTCCAAAAGTATCCGCCCCAAACGATATGGAAGGTTCGCGTTTGCCCAACATTGAATGTTGGCACATTTGAACAGGTTGCTCGTTGCGAGTTGGTAGAAGCACTGGAGCGAAGAAGAGAATGTATTTCTTGTGCCGTGCAGGAACGCGGTGGTTCCTGCACTGATAAAGCGAGGGACATATGCCGCGGCCTGTCAAAGTCGTTTTCTCTAGTGGCGGCAGTCCCATGGACAACCAGCGGCGTCGGTGTGCGGGGTGCTCTCTGAACGTTCCGCAGATTCTATTGCGGATGTTCGAACGTTACGATGACCGCTTGATGAAGATTTCGTTGTTGCTTTTTGGGAGGTCAATACCACATCTTTTCTGCTTACGGCCTTCGCACAAGAACTGGCCCTTGCTCCGAACGAGACAAGGACGATATTCTGGGCCCTGTAGATGAGAAAACCCTGAGTACCATCGGAGGACGCTATTCATTGTCACGCAGGTGACCTTAAGAGCACACGTGTGGATCTGCGAAAGAATAGGTTATAGTTGTCATGGGTGGGTTTGGTTCTATGCGGCTCACGAAACGCGATGTTTGTGAGCGAAATTCTTGAATATGCAAGCTCTTCACAATCTCACCATCAGTGAACACAAACTAATCGTAAACGTGACTCACACCTCATTCACGTTCTTACAGCGGCAATACCAGAAACTCAGATTTGATTCGTTCTGTTGAGGCAACATGATTGAGGGCTAGTGACGGACGCGAAGACAGTGCCGTACAGACAGTCGCTTAGCAACATCGACCACTGAATTGCCCCATTAATATTGCCCTCCAAGGACCAGAAGCGAACGGTGTGGGCCTGCGAGGATCAAGTGGGGCGATGAAAGAAGAAAGGAATCCGCCTCTGTTCAGTCGGCATTCGGCTACCGCCAGTAACGACCGATCGACGAAACACTAGGAATTGTGCCACAGTAAGCGCATCACGGTTCGTGTTTGCCGCTCCGAGCTTCGCTTACGAATCCTGACGGCCGGAAAATCGACAGCAGACATGGCTGTGGACCGACACTGTTCAGAGAAACAGACGGAGAAAGAAAAGCGCTCTACCAAGTGTTTCTCGGTGACAGTCGAAGCGAATAACTAGAAACAACTATACAGAGCGCGAAGAAGGCAGCAAAGGAAGCTGATGGCGGCTGTTGCGTGAGAGCAGTTCATTCCAGATGGCGTCTAGCAAGAAGCTCGAAGACGCGGCGACCGGGCGAACGCCTATTATTTACAAACTAGCAAGGCGTCGCCATCGCCAGACCGCAAGATATCGAGAAGTTCCTTTTGGCATGCAATGACCGGCAACGGTCACTCCCGTAATGCGACACGCAGAGGGGCTGTGAAGCGGTGCACGGACATAACTTCGAGAAAATCTGGCAGACAGTGAATTCTCACACCCGCCCATACTTTGGCTCCTCCGCCCGTCACAGGCCCACTGTCTCGAAGATACCTGCTTGAGCGAAACAGAGGCGGCTCGTGAAGAAGATGAAGACAGGCTAAAAACGGGTCCGAGACTTGGCGGCCGATCTGTGGAAGTCACAGTGCTGGATCAAGCAGAGGGCTAAAGAACTTTTCAACCAAGTCGTCGCAAAAGAAAGTGCGGAGAGTTGGCAAGCAGAGTACGGACGATCCCATTTGTAGTAGGAAAAAGGGGAGTCTGCCAGGTGCACGAGCATACAACCAATTTCTTTGCTCTCATCCCACACAGCTGAAGGTATTCGACGAATTGTAGATCGCCAGTATTTCGTGACATAGTCAGCTACCTGAACCAATGCGGCTTCGTGACTGGCTGCGCACCACTGATGCCATACACGCCGCGTCGTCTTCTGTAGAAAACACCGTGGAAAAACAAAGCTCGGGCATTTGCTTTCTAGACTTGGAGATAGGCCTGAGCTGTTCCCGTGACAGCTAATATGGTACGCCTACGACAACAATGGGCGGCCCGAAGAGCTTATCGAGGGTTCGGCATGCTTACTCAAGCGCCAAAGAGCGAGTTGCGAACCACGTCAGCTGGCGTCTTCGACGCAGAATACCCATCTCTGTTGGGGTACAATAAGTGCTCTGCGCCTCTCCCACTTCTTTCCGTGTCGTCATGGATGTTTTACCAATCTCAGAGCATCTGAGTAAACCAGCTCCAATGGGAACGTTCCTCTATGCTGATAACGTTGATGCTCGCCCTGCGAGACAAAAACGCTACCCTCGAACACAAGCGCAAGCTTGTGCGAATCGCCTAGCGATGTTCGGACTCCAGGTTGACCGTTAGGACAGACTGAGTACCGACAACGACACGAGCGAGTGCCGTTCTATCCAAAATAAATGGAGTAGAGCTAACACGTGCAACGGACATTTCAGTACCTTGGATCAGAATTGCGTCTGATGGAGCTAGTGGGAGCTGACTGGATGTGAACTCGCGTGAGTGCGGCTTGGTCAGGTGGCGTTTCTTATGACGGAAAGTTCTCTTGTGACAAGAAAATCCCAGAACGCCTGAATCGAAGATTATTAGGACAGTCGTAAGACGCAGTGGCATTGTACGGCGCTGAGTGCTGGCCAGCGACCAGGGAAACTGAAACTCGCTCGCGTCTGTTAATGGAGACGAGATGGCTGCGCGACGGCTGTGTCACGCGATTCATTTCGCGTTCCGGGAACGAATGTCATCGCGAACGCTCTTGGTGTAGCTCCCATTGCTGAATAAAATGCGCGAAGCTCCGGCTTCGTTTGTGTTGGCCACGTTCTTCGCAGGGAATGATGACAGTGCTTCGCGAAGATCGGCCTCACATAGCCGTGCCACGGAAAGCGGCCCAAGGCGCGCGCCGAAACAAGCGCTGCGCTCGATACGTTGCACGCAGACTGAATTAGGTTAAATTCCACTCCGACAAGCTTTAAATCTGGGAAAGTGGCGACAGCACATCAGAAAAGCGGACCCCGCCATCAGCGGACAAACGCTTGGAACAGAATAAGAGAAAGAATATCAACACGAGGGTTGATCCTGCCTCCCCTCAATACCTCACTAGAATTAAAGGCGACTATCGATCCACCAGCACAAGTAAAAGGTGCGAGCCTTATACCGATATTCATTGTAATAAATGGAAATGTTCCTGTAACACACTGCTAAATGGTCAGACACAAGTTTGACCCTGCCATAGAAAGGCAAGCGCAAAGACAGGAGAAGAAGTAGGATATTAGGGTTTAACAGCCACCTCTTTCGAATGCTACCATCCTTATTCAAGAAGTCGAAACCAGAGCTATCGTCGTGTTTGAGCGTGACCGTAACCTGGAACCAACATGATTTGATATTCAATTGTGTAATTAGCCTAAATTTCAAACATTACGTCCTGTTCTTTTTCCATGTAGTTGAACACCAACACTTGTAAAGCGAACTTTTCGCCACGTTTGACTGAGTATGGCAAGTTCAGACGGATGAAGAACGGTCGGAACACTCGTAGCTGAAAAGAGCAATAATTATTGTCAAGCTTAAAACCAATGGCCTTGGGTATATGGCTGATGCCTTACTGCAGCTCTCACCTTAGACGTGGTCGGTGCGACACCCAGTCCTGAGTTGTCGTTGATCGCAAATGCGCTCGCCACCCACGAGGTGATTGTGTCTGGTGCCAACGACTGATAGACTGCTTCCCCGTTAGAACTGAAAAAGAGTTCTCAATGGATTTTTCACGGACCGTAGACAAATTTTTTGTGTATTTTTATATCTCTCCCCATGAGTTTCCTAACTTTTCAACTAGTGAAGCTAATCGTGTCAAATTGACTAAACTTTCTCATTCTGATGGGTTGCCCTCATCCCTGAAAGCCTAACGATCTGAAAATTTGCAGATGTCTAGTGAACGGTTTGAGATTTTTACAGTTTAGTAATTGAACATTTTCGGCTCAAATCTCACATAGGCTAGTAAAGCTTTTTATCCCTTCGTAGCCTATCAAATAACCACTTTCGTCAGAGTATGGGAAACATCGCTTGGATTTGGCAGCCAGTACAGATGGCAAATGGCCATCCACACACCAGTACAACGCTGAGTGTTGTGAATTCGTATCGCTCCCCGAAAAGGGACTCGAACCAAGTCAAACGCAGAGCGAGCTCAGTGTTCTATCGGTGAAATGGGGTGATAGGGGCCATTCCTTCTACTCTGCGGCTCTAATGATATCTCTATCAGATAAGGCTAAGGGTATCTCTAGCGGTAAGCACAAGAACGTTGATAACATGCTTTTGTGGAGTAACTTACTGATAAGAATTGTGAAATGCCCTGTATCATCGACATCCAACCCATTTTTTTCGCACATTGCACATTTCCAGTGGTTCACTCGCTGTGGATTCCCACACTCCCCCCTCTCCCCCTCCCTAACATCTCCACAGCGTGTCTGCGCATAAAAAAACAATTTTTTTTACCTGCCCTCTGGTTTCAGGATGTTTTTTTCTGCACACTGAAGGCTGAATTAGCAGCTCTCTATCAAAGCAGCTTCTCCTTGACTGGAAGAATGGTCAAAACTCACCCATTAGCATTTTCAGCGCGCTTATTTTTGACCTTGGAGTCGCTAGAAGCCGCAGAGCAAAACGAGCAGATGGCCCCTACCAACTCAATTTATACCGTTTTCCTTTCAATTTTCATTAAGATCTCGGAATTGGCAAATTGCACACCGCACAGCGCAGCGCATTATCTATCACCGTAACAACTGAACCCTTGGACTTACCTGAGACACAAAGATGTCACGCGCAGTTTGCTGGTCATGTCTTGTAGACGGGGCGTTCGTTTTGATGATGAATTTACATCGAATAGAACTACATATTTTTGCTCCGATATTTAGTAATTTACTTCATGCGTGTGGCAACTCGCGTTTTCAAGAAGCACACTTGCCCTAAAACGTTCATCAACAATTTGTGAGGTGGTACGTACAGTTTATAGTGCCCACTGGTAGTCGAAGGGTTAAGTAATTCTTGAGCCACCAGGTGCAGCTTTTTCCACCTTGTACCACGTGTTGACTACAAATCCATGTCCCAGAAAGTCATTCCTATAGCTCACAGTTGAGACTTGAGGATTTTCCGCGTCTCTTATTTTCACATTTCGCGCAGTATTTCGAAATAAGTCCCCGTATAATCAATCCGTCAGCGTATGCACTGGAACTCATTGGACACTCGCCCAAGAAAGAATTGTAGTATGGTCTCTAGCGAAGGTGAGGATGAACTAAAATCCGAGGGCATTTATTCAGATGCGCCTACCACATTAACAATCCCAACCAACAAACTTCACTACTTCAGAGACAATAAACCAAACTAAAACATGTAGGACAAGAGTAAGAAATGGAAATTGTCTATTCGACATCAAGAGAATTAGAGGAAGAGGTAGTCTTTGAAGGTGACACGTTTTCACGCGGCGCTAAAGCCGCCAATTCTGTTCGTGTTCCAAAAACAAACAAAAAATTTGTAAATAAGGCTTACACACTCTTAGTAATGGAATAGTAGTGGCACCGGATTTGCTCTATGTGCTCTATTTGAAGTCACTCGCTGGTCAACCGTTTTTCTGATGTATTTCGTGAATTACGGTAGAATATGGCAACAAGATGGGGCCAACCAATGAGTTTCCGTAGAAACCTAGTGCAAGCCCCACCCACACAATCAGCTCTCAATGCAAATTCAGGCGTTTTTAGCAATTTTTTGCATTGCTACACCACTGGAGAATTTGCCACCACAACCTCTTTTCTCGTGCACAATAATCTAGGGTACCCTTCTCGGTGGTGTGCGATGTAGGACACGCAGTAGGACACTCTATTAACTTGACGCGAAACCCCTATAGTACGCACGCGACTCGTCCGCTGACTTTGCCTTCTTGCCGCGCCTCCTGGGGGTAGCCTATTCATCAAAGAAGTCATACCCAACCTACCCGTTAATGGAACGGCACCGGAAGTGTGCTTTTTTGGAAACGTTTCTTCATTGGGTCGAACACAGTGACAATATCCAAAACTTCAGGTTGCTCTCAAAAGTTTGGCCGGGGTCAGTAGCGAATCGCAAACCCGATTCGCTACTAGCGATTCGCTCGACTCACAAAGTCTGACACCGGCTTCCGCCGGAAGGAATTTTGAGACATTTCTTCATCTCAAAAAAAGATTTAAAAATTAGCTAAAGATTTTTGTACTAATGTCGCGAATTCTTCGGGTTCGAGGATTAATATACATCCGAGGGCATATCATATCAATTTTGCTTTGAACTTTCCAAATGTAAAGAAGTAATGCACGGAAAACCGATTCAGCAAACACTTTTGACAGCTGCTCTACCACTCATTCTTTTTCAAGTTCATGTGCTCAGGATTTGCTTTCTATCCTGGATAAAACTTTCCCTGAAGCCAAAACTTAAAAATCCCATATATTAAGATTCATTGACATATCATGGAGCTTTTCGTAGGCATAGAAGTAGGGTGAGCCAACTCCCATGCCATGTAAAACGAGCAGGTTGATGAGCAACCTCTTGCTCTGAAGGCAAACTGATTTTGCGCTGATTTTCAGAATTCAGCAGTATTTCAGAGTGTAGATGGAGTTGCTCTAAAGTTTACACTTGTTGGAAATTTGCCGAAAACTAGATCAAGCTCATGATAAAGCCAAGAGCAAAAGCTCTCACCTAATCTCAAAATAGTCAAACAGCCATGTCTCTGGGAACTTCGTTCTAATCACTACTGGTGCAGGTGCTGAAGAACTCTTCGCAGTCCCAACACTTACAGATTCATCCGACATCAGTGGTACAGCGTCAAACGCCACCCGATCGGCAATTCGATAATAAATCACTAAAATCTATGAGTCAACCATAAGTTACTGGCTTCGTCACACAGCAAGACACATTCATACACACATGACGAATCGTTATCCAGTGCATGATCACTCTCATTCCAGGGATGCACATTTGCTCGGAGTGGTTAGTTCTTAATCTCGGGGAACAAGACTGCTCATGTATTACATAGCTACTGTCGAACAGTACCAATGGACAGTGAAGATGTGTTAATCGTGGGACTTAAAGGCACATCCCACGACTGAATAAATGGCGACCACTGCGCCCGAAAACTGATGCAGATGTAGTGCTGTAGTCAAATGGTAATGAAAGAGGAGAAACAGAACTACTGGAAACTTTCAAAGCCAAATATGAAGGGCCGATCATCGCGCTGGCCCGCTCGGCTGATCAGCGTGCAATTAGATTTCAAGGACTTCTAATAGATCTTTCGCTCTCCTTCCTTGGATCTTCGAAAATACCACATCTAATTCCATTTTTAGACGCAATATTTCATCCCGAGGTGCCATAAGTTATGCCAAACTATGTGATAAAACCAGCTTAAACTACACGATTTCAGAATCCTTTCCTGGTTCATTTTGCTCCTCAAAATTATGAGCTAGAGGAGGTGCTACAACCGACAAGTTGTATTTGGAAATGGGCAAATGCGAAGTTCTGAACATCACGAACTTCTGAAAGGACTCTATTGACGCCCTCAAAGAGTCTGCAATCGGCAGTCGTGGTGTGAGGCTTTGAGAATATCATAAACGGAATAGTTCAGAAGTCTAATCAAAGGCGCTTCCAAAATCGAAGATATGGTAAGTTTATTATCGATTTCTCTATGGAATTCCCTAATTGCACTTGCCTTGCATTAAAATCGACGAAATCCATGATTCAGGAAATCTAAATCGAATTACAGGAGCAGAAACTCCTCCTAGTGGTGGCGCCTCGTCACGAGTGATTACGACACTCTCACCATCGACGGACTCGGCAACAAATACCGAATCTTCTAGCATAACTAAACACTGTTGTACAGCGATAAAAGGGAATTACCACAGGACAAAAGGCAAGGCAACACGAAAGCCGTTGAAATCTGCTTTGTTAGTTTGAACGAAACACTTGTGCCTAGTACAGACTGAAATTTTTACATAGATAAAATTCCATAGTATCGAGTTCTTCGCCCTTCCAAATGCATAATCCAAGCATCTACCCGTATCAATCTTGTCCAGTTCACGTAAGTATGTTTGGGACCTGGTGATAGGTGCCAGATATGGAACAGAAACGTCAAGTCTGTACACAGACCTTGACAAACGCTAACTTTCACATTGTCAGTCCTTCAAGTTCTTGAAAAGACCAAGTAGACATCAAAGGCAATACTACTTCGAAGAGAAACCGAATACACAGCGCAATGCAGGATGACGCCTTTGACAGAAGATTGATCTGTATTTGATTTTTTGACTACGAATACTATCTAGGAAAGGTTCATCTAATCTGCGACTTTTCAATGCGAAGATGAGATCTCTTCAAACAATCTAAGGTAGGATAGAATAATTCGCGAGTAATATTACAGGTGCGCTGTTGTGAAAAGTGAGCAACAGTGGTGCTAGTTTCTCACAATAAGTGCAGTCATGGCGCAAGTGAAATCAGGAAAGAGATTGGTTGACACACCCCTCCCTCCTTTCCAGGGGAGAGGTCCTTGTTCAAAGCAACGGTCTAGATCGAATTCAAAGAGCAAAAGGGGTTGATAATGCTATTGTGGATGTCGAATTGACTGCAAATGAAAGAAGAAGCAAGGAAAACCACCGCTGGAGCCCAAGTTTGTTTTGAACAAGGGCTCCCTCTGTTTCTCTTGAGATAGCTAAGGGGCGTACAGAACGAGTTGTGTAAACTTGCTTGTCAAGAACCTTTATTACTGAAGACTTGCGACAGATTCCCTTTGTTAGGAAGAAACATACAGCTAACAGCTATGTAGGTAACATACTGCTAGCATTAGTTTCTGAGATAAAAACGGCGCACTTGTGGTCTAAAAGCACTCAGAATTCCAGCGTAGGCGGAAGCATCAAATTGAACGGTGTAAAGTACCGAGTTCAAATAGGCGCTGTAGTACCAAAACGATCGCCCATGTCTACGCAACCAAACACGCGATCCGACGACTAGCAAGTGACCGAAGACAAGGAGTAGGTGGGAACAGGGCATTCGCACATGTCCGATTCCCTTCGGGCTTACCAAGGTGAGTTTTTTGTTCAGTGACACTTCTTACGTTTTTGACTATAGCTAACGCATCATTTCCACACCTTTAGCATCAAAAATATGGACACTGTTAGGAATGTTCAACTACATCGGTGGTTTGTTATGCATATTTTTTCATTTTTAATCAACTGGCGTCCTCAATTTCATTATCGGCCGTTGTTACCCCTCCAATTTGATCTGGGATTGTTGCCTTATTGAACCCATCTCATGCTCGCACATCGCTAAAGCAGTTTCTCTAAAATTAGTGAGACCGAGAGAGAGTTGAAAATTGAGGATGCCTACAATGATAGTTGATATGGCCATATGTCATCTGGAACCTTACCCAGTGTCGAACGAAGCAAAAATCCAACATTCAGGAAATTTTTTCCGGATTTTCAATGCCGATATCGGCGGTGATGAATCAGCAGTCCCAAATTTGAAGGAGGCGGCTCCAGCAACGGGGCCGAGGCGTATTCGATGGTATGCGATTCTAGGTACTGTAAAAAGTCATTTGAAGAATGAGTGAAAAATGTCATGCTAGTTGCTGTTATGGAAGGTTTAAAGAGTTGGTGAGCCACAGAAGAAAAACAGAAATGTTTCCATGAAGGTACATGCTAATGCATGAGCACAAAAAGTGGATAAGGTCACCATGCTTCGTTGCAAAGATACCGTAAGTAATCAGGTATTTGTATATTCACCAATATGTTGCAATCCGATTGACATTCGTTACCCAGTATCCTAGCTTTGCCACTGTAGCGCAAGGAAGAATATAAAGTCCAGAGCTCGATACAAATTCAAAAACGTGTAAAAAGTGGGACTCACTCGCGTACGAATGTGGCGGATTAATGAAATTCATGGCATGCCCGAGTTACTGCAATCGTTCTAAAGATATCAATTGCACTCTCCCTATTTTCCTTCTCCACATTTGTGAATTATGTTTTGCTAATGTGAGTGTGAATATTTTTAATTTCAGTATTGAGCCATACCGTTAAGGTTTCAGCAGTGATCACGATGGTAGGAGGGCGATGCGGTTTCAATGGCAACGTTGAACTTCTTCCTGAACTTGGTTGGGACCACCACCTGAGGCTTTTCCCCAATGACATTTAGTGACGACACCAAAACCGTAAGCTCTTCAGCCATCTGATCAATGCCTTCTACCTATGTGGTTTCTGTGCATTTTTTCTTCAAAAAGTGAGAATTTTAAATTCTAGTCTCAGCTCCGAAAATAAGTCACAGTCTTTATATTTAACCGAATTATCACTCAGAAATGAAAAAATTCATCACCAGAGCAACGTATGATGGAGTAACGTGACTCATAATGGGGCTTGCTGTCTAGGGTGGTGATGGAACACACATGGAACCATAATGGGCCAAATTAAAACCAAAGTGTGAAAGAGCTACGCAGTGCTGGTATTTTTAATAAAATGCCTCGAGTGGAAAACTGCATATTACGCACCCAATAATGAATGAAGTGAAGATCCAACTTTCAGGAAATTTTGAACGAATTTTGAATGTCGGTTTTGGCGGTGATGGTTGGCGCCATGGTTTAACAGGGTGAGGAAGCATGAGATAGCTCACTGCCGGCAGGACATCATCGCGAAGACTTAGTGGAACAATGGCTCGAGAGAAAGATACTGGATATAATCCTAAAATTTAATAATGCTGCAATCTTCATTCTTGTCTCATTCCACATCAAGCGTAATTGGTTAAAGGAAGAATTCACACTGGAAAGGCAACCCATTTCAAATTAAGTTAGCGATGGTGAGTGGTACACTAAAGAAGGAAAAACCATGCGAAACGGCCCAGAACCTGAGAAATGGGACCACTTCCTTGCCCGTTGATTTGAGCATTGGTGCGACTATCATCGCTGTGCCCTCTTCAACGCTACGCTCTCTCACCTATCTAATCACTCACCACGTATGGACCTGCGGCGAGTGATCAGATGATCGGTGGGCGTGCACTGACCGGCCGCGGCGGGATCAAACCTTCATAGGTCAACGAGGTCAACTCCTCCTGTGCAAATTGTGCTTCAGTTCGCACACTTAGGAGCTCCGCGGGTCCCTCAACCAGGTGAATTCTTCCTAATTCGATTTCCCCTCTGATCGTGAATTCGTCCTTTAATTGAACCAAGACAGACTGAGTGAGTTCAACAGCAAAAGTTCCGAGCCTTTCCACAATGCAAAACATAATATCGTTCAGAAGCATCACTCTGCGTTACAGAATACAAATAAAATATATAGATCAGCCGAGCACAGATAGGAGTGCTACATAATGTGAAAGTTAAGAGAGACGTTAGGAGAGACAGTTTGCAATGTTACAATTTTGTATAATGTCTAACTCAAAGAATTTGTGATATTGATTGCTGGAGATGCTGAGTTGTGAGGTATGTAAAACTCAGGTTTTCCTGGCATCATTTATTTTCCCCTACACTACCAAAGCCGCGCGAAGATAACAGTCCTGCTCTGGATTGGATCAAATTTCTCACGAGGGTCGTAGACACGATTGCCGCGCTTGATCACATCACGTCTCAGTCAGACCTTCTTTTGAAATATTGGTAGAGATGATGACATATCATCTAAGTCACGCGTTCTGCTCCTCACCTAGTTTCTTAGGAGTGCGCCAGCAACATCTGCACTGGCACGTATCGCACGCCAGAGTACTACAGTTCATTGCATTCTCCTCACTATAGGGACACGTAGCCGTTTATTCCTTTCACGCAGGGCTCTCATAAATAGGTCTGGCA